CAGCCCCCCAAAAAAACCATCATACCTACACTATCCTCTACCTAAATCCCACCTCCACCTCCACCTCCACCTCTACAAAACACCTACAGTTACCTACCTACCCACACAGTAAACCCCACCTCACTCCACTCCACTCCACTACAAACACCCCCCCCCCAAGCCACTATAAAAACATAAAAACCTCTCAAAAGACACGAATAGAAAGAGAAATCTTCACGACATCCAATACGATCTTAAGGGATTCAGAATCAAAGGGAAAGGTTCAAAGGGTTATTGTGAGATATTAGTATAGGTATTACGGAAAGTCTACCTAGGTAGGCAAGTGGGTTGATATTTACTTGGATCTTCGGACCTTCGGACCTTCGGTTTCGTTACTTCTTTTTGTCTATCGTGAGTCTGATGTAGCGTACCTAGGTACTACGAGGCTACCTCGGCTATATTCTGACAGATACCTTAGCCCCCTCCCTCATCCTCTATCTTCTCTTAGCTATACCTCACTTATATACATCTCACTCACCTTACCTCACACCCCTCACTCAATACTCCCACCTCAAACACTTCAAACACAAACACTTCAAATACACAAACACCCCATCTCACCATCTCACCATTCCCGTCATTCTCACAATCCAGCAATTCAAAATCATAAATCCCATTCATTCATTCATTAATCTAAGGAATCTCCTAAAAAGACCTTTTCTTTTCATGCCTTTCCTTTCCGTCGTACCTACTCACGTAAGAAGAAAAAAAAAGGTAAGAAAAAAAGAGAGTAGCATCGCCGCATAGTGTACTCGAGTAGCAGAAGAGAAGAGAGGCAAAAGAAAAGAGAGAAAAAAAGGAGAAACGTATAAAGGGAAATCGTATCCTCCAATCCAGTCATCAGAAAGAGAAAAGGAAAAGAAGAAGAACGCAACAGCAACAAACAAAAAACAGAAAACGCACGCTTTCCACTCATAATCCACTTGCTTAGCTTAGCTTGGTCCTTGCCTAACGCCTTCCATGCATGCAACATCAAAAGCTATAAAAGCCAGAAGAAGAAAAGCAAAAAAAGGAAATAGCACTCGGGTTATTCTGCCTCTAGTCCTATCCCATCCCACCCCCAAGTTCTTTTTGCGTGTACTTTTGAAGGAAAACTTTCAAGTCGCCCAAAAAACCTAATACCCTTCATAACCTGGAGCAGCCATTCCTTGTTGCGGTAACGCATACCCCCTTGGTTGCTGAATTGGCATCTGACCCGGAGTCTGGGGGTGTCTCACTTGTCCTCCCAGATCACCGAACCAAGGATGTTGTAGAGCGTCGTGTGCAGAAATTCGTAATTCCGGTCTCAACTGTAGCATTCTTTGCAAAAGATCGATTCCCGAGGGATCAATTTGTGGGAGGATGACACGCAGGTCTTGTGTAGCGTACATTTGGAAATTTTGTTTGTATTCCGTGTACTGTGAGATTCCTGGCCAAGTACGTTCAGAGGGTGTTCCCATGATTCGAAAGATTCGTACGAGTTGATCTTCGTTGGTGGTACCTGGAAAGAGGGGACGTCCTGTGTACATCTCGGCCATGATACAACCTGCTGACCAAATATCGATGCTTGTGTTGTAGGTTCTACTACCAAGAAGAACGTCTGGAGCTCGGTACCAAAGGGTGACGACTTCGTTGGAAAAAGTGTTAACTGGAATACCAAAAGCTCGAGCGAGACCAAAATCCGCCAGTTTTAATTGACCCTTGGTGTTGATGAGGAGGTTTTGGGGCTTGAGATCTCGGTGAAGAACTCGGTTGGTGTGACAGAAATCGATGCCTTTTAGTAATTGGTACATAAATGACTTGATGGTAATGGGTGGAAGTGCTCCTCGATCGCCTTGTGTATCCATATATTTCTTCAAATCCTTGTCCATGTAATCGAAAACCAGCATGAGTTTATTCTCGGTATGAATGACATCGTGGAGGCTGACGATATTGTCATGTTTCAATTCTTTCATCAAAGAGATTTCTCGAATGGCGGTGGAGGGGGTGCCTTCTTCGGAGTCTAGGTGGATTTCCTTCAAGGCTACGAATTCACCGGTCTGTCGATTTCTTCCTTTGAAAACCTGCGAGATGTCAGTCAGGAAGTTTTGATATGCGAAGGTCGGTTCTAATATATTTGCGCCAAATACGCCAACACCAAATCAAGTAAGTGGCAGAGCTCAACGTACCGTAGCATAGGTTCCCTCACCCAGCTTCTCCAGCTGCTGGAAGGAACTTGGATGTCGTTTGTCCATGGGGACGACTGTGTGCTCGGTATCAAGATCTCGCACACTGATGGTACTGGGAAGTGAGGGGGGTAGTCGTTGGACGGTTGGCGAGGGGGGAAAAGTACGAAAGGGGGGTAGAGGGGAAGGTCGTTGGCAGGTGGTGTAGCGGGGATCAAACAGCAACGAGGCTGGGGTGCAGATGTTGTTAAGGATAGCGAACGCGTCCTTGGACCCGTGAGAGGAAGCCGTGGTGATGGTGGAGCAGGAGCAGGAGGAAGTCGGCTGGAATCCTGCACGACGAGCCTCTGGTGGGAAGGGAGAAAAGGGTGGGATGTATGGTGGTGCTGGTGGTGGTGGTGCTGGTGGTGGTGGTGCTGGTGGTGGTGGTGCTGGTGGTGGTGGTGCTGGTACTGGACTGGTACTGGACTGGTACCTAGACTTGGTATGAGATGAGTATCCGCGATGGTGGATGGTGGATGAATCTGGAGGTACTCGATACCGAGTGAGGGGGGATTTTTCAGGGTAACCGTTGTAATAGGGTTAGGCCTGAGCCTGCTGAGCACAAGGAATCATCTTTTTGTCCCCCCACCAACTTTGGTGTTCAGGCTCCTTTTGAAGTCGGTTCAGGGTGCGCATTGGCAGCTGGCCCGCCTGGGGCTGTGAATCAGCGCCTGTGGAGGCAGTGATTGTAGGAGGAAGAGTCACTGGAGGAGTGGGTGGTATCGGTATTAATCACCCCTCAGGGTCTACCTCAAGGTTCAGGCTTGTGGTTCAGGCTTCAGGGTGCTCGTATTATTTAACGCCGACGACCCAAGCTCCGATAAGGTGCCGGTGCAGGAGCCGAAGCCGAAGCTCGGCAGGGAGGCTCTGGAGGCGACCGCGGGGTATGCAGCGACTGTCAAGACAACATAGTGCCGTGCATTACTTCATAAAGTGTAGTCAACACCAAACAACTCCATCGTGGTCTGATTTTCCCATACCGCTCTGCTCAGGGTATGTGGTACTTGCTACACCATCATCTTTTGCAGGTAGACAGAAACACCATCCTCACCTTCAACCATGCGACCACTTCTGGGCGAAGATGCCTTCGCCGATAACGATACCACTCCACTGGCTTCGCGCAGCCAGCCACCACAGATGAGCTACTTTATTGCAGATGAGAAGACCGTAGAGTCCTCGAATTCGCCTTCACCGCCACCGATGATATCCAAGCATCGAGATGCGGCAAAGAACCACAGCAGCAACAGCACGTATGGTGTAGAAAGTCTTGAAACAACGATAAGCTCCCTCGCATCAGCATCAACAACCTCATCCCACGAGAGCGACGACCAAGAAGACGAGATCAGATTCCGCCAGGCTCGCAAGAAATGGAAGAAGAATCTGCCATCGCATGTCTCCAAAAACTCCGATGACGATTTCCATTTCTCGGATTCCTTCAAATCTTCCGCAGAGATGAGTCGAAATGTATCTCCCTCCCATGGACGCCGTCTTTCTCAATCTACACTATCCAGACCATACACTCCTCTTTCCCTCGGGTCACCTGCTCCCCCTTCACTTCTCAGCTGCCCACATTCACCCGGAAACTCGGAAGATGGTTCATACATGGATGATTTGGCAAGTCAGGCAGTAGCTTCCAGTGGCGACGAGGTGGGATCGGGATTGATGGATAGTGGAAGTGCACCTCAATTTGTGATGCCGAGCATCAAGATGCCTAGCAGAAGACCATTTACAGAAAAGGGAAAACTTATGGGCAAAGTCAAGATTCTGATTGCTGGTGATTCTGGTATGTTTATTCCTCTGCAAGTCGAGACAAGACCCAATTAACAAAGTTTAGGAGTTGGAAAAACCTCCTTGATCAAAGCCATCGTTCAGACTTGCGAAGATATCGTTCATGTTGATCCCATATCCTCCACTCCTATATCCATCCCCGAATCAAATCGAAAGGCTTCTAGAACCAAGTCCAAAAATGGAGCTACCGATTTACAAACAACTTCACAGATCACGGAAGTTTATGCAAGCACAAGACCTTATCCGTCATGGTGGTCTGATTTGGAGGATAGCAAAGTTTTGAAGAGAAGAAAGAGTTTAGGGGATTCGATATTGGAGAGAAATTTGTGTTTTGTTGATACTCCTGGCTACAGCAACAAGACCTCGGCAAGTGTTGATAACGTCCAGAAGCTGCCTAGGCATCTCCCGCTAACGATATTTAGGCTATGGAATGTATAGACCCAGTCATCGAATATATCGAATCACATTTACGAAAAGCCACATCCCTCGACCATATGAGTGATAACGACATGATTAGCATGCTAGGTGGAAATGGAGGTTCACAAGTAGATTTGGTTTTATATGTCATCAAGAATAGTACGTTTTGGGAGATTATGAGATACGCCCCATTCTAATTCATCTTTAGAAGTCAAACCTGTCGACCTCGAATATTTACGCCGTCTTTCACAACTTACAAATGTCGCCCCACTCATTGCCCATGCAGATAATTCAGGCTCGGCGGGTATATCATCTTTGAAAAGTCAGATCAATTCTTCCTTGGACGAAGCAAATATTCGCTCATTTCAATTTGCTACGTCCCCGGAGGAGCTTTCTTCTCGAGCTAAAGCTCCTTGGGCTATCTCTACAACTCCCTCTGAAGATCACGAAAACATGGACGCAAGTCTTCTCATGTCCCCCGACTACATTTCTCCATTGGTAGAGTCAGAATTACCAGACTTGGTTTCTCAGCTTTTCGACCCATCAAGTATTTCATGGCTTCGTCATTCCGCTGCCAAGAAGTTTGTGGAATGGCGTGAGTCTACTGCACCACGCACAAGACCTCAATTACTTTACCAACCACTTCGACTACCTTCTACATCTTCTTCTCAGATTCTTACTTCACCAGTTGGAGCAACGACTTCTTATGCATTGGCGAGAATAACTGATCACACACAGAGAGAGGAAAAGATTGCCCAAGTACGACTTGCAAATTGGGCCGCAGATTTGCAGAGAAGTATTAGGAACGAACGAGCACGTTACGACCAACTTGCCCGTAGTGAAAGAGCCATCTGGCTTACCGAAAGACTTGGGGAATGTGTTCAGGATGGTACTATTATTCCTCTTTCTGAAGCACGCAAGAATAATGATAATTTTTCATCTGTCCTTGTCAGGTCGGATTATTCCAGAAAGGAACGCGAGATGGGTGGGATTGACAGACATGACCCACTTGGAATTCTACAGCTAAACGCTGATGTAAAAAGAAAGGCTTCAGCGGCAGTCAAACTTCTTAGTGGTGTGGGTGTGTTGGGTGGTCTTGCATTTTGGGTTGTTCGTACATTCCAAGGTACAGAAAGCCATGCTATTATTCAGGGTCTGGGTGTGAGGGAGTGGGCCGAATTGAGTCTGGCGCATCGCTGAATGAATGACTGGATAAGTATATCATGAGAAGGCGATTTGATGTTTTGTTTCGATATGATATTACGCACGTAGATGGGTTTGGCAGCAAGGAATTTTGGGGATTTGGTGTTTGGCGATACTTTTTTCTTCTTATTCTCTCCTTTCCCTCCTTTCTTTTCTTTTCTTTTCTTTTTTGTGCGTTGCATTTGAGTGCAGTTGGTCATTTACGGACTTATCACGGGTGGGTGGTGGTTGCATGTGTAGGATATGAGGAAGTGGTTAGCACAGAGGGGATGAATGGACAAATGGACGATTCGATTCATGGCATGTTACGTGGTTGGGTATTGCTTTCCTTTTTTTTTGCTTGGTTGGTCGGTGGATAGTTAGCTCTTCTTCTTCGTCTTGGGGACTCGACCCCCGATTTCTACATAGTCTGATGGGAGTGAGGGGTTGGGGTTGGGGCTGGGGAGGCAGATGTGTAATGTGCGAGATGGGGGTTAGAAGGGGAGGGATTAATGATATAGGAGAAGAATAAGAGAAGTTAGGATCAGAGAAATGACACTCGTTTACTTGTATCTTGTGCACAGGATTGATGTTTGGGTTGTGTTTGGGATGCTGTGAGGGTTGTGGTGAGGATGTGATGAGTGTGTTGAGGGTTTACCCCGATTGTATGTGCTGTATGAGCACATGAATTCTCCTAGGTAGCAGACGACATGACTATTACGTACGGGAATTAGGCAGTTAACAGGAAGGTTTCTCCTCTTCTTCTCTTTTAGAGGGGTATTGCGAAAAGTCCCTAAGGAAATTCAACAGGTTCCCAGGGAAAGGCAGGGGCTTATAATATACTTAAGAGTTTTAGTACAGTAGCTTGAAAGACACAGCTAGTTTCAAAACTCCTCCCTTCCTTTTTGAAGTTCATACGGAGGAAAGATGTTTTTTGAGATGGTGACTGAGGGATTCTATGTACAGTAGCTCGTACGAGTAGGAAATGATGAATGGAAAGAGATGGTGGTAAGAATCTTCCTAGGTAGGTACTTATACTTGAAGGGTTGTTTATCTTTAGACTCTTACTTGAAAGTATGACGAATATGTATTAGAGTACTATTTATAACCTAGTCGATAGACTCTGTTATAACTAAACTAAACTAAGCTTACCGCTCTCTACGCTACTCTTAATATTCGATATTTACTTTCTTTTAATTTTTATAATATACCTTTTTATACTAATAACTTAAGAGCTCTACGGCCCTAGGAAATAAAGGTATAATAAGTATACTAATAACTACTTTTTCCTAACCTACCTACCGGCGATCTAGACGAAGTTCTTTACGTTATAAACCTTATTTACTTACTAAGTCCTAAACCTTTATACGCTACTTATAAACCAACTAGCTTCGCGGGTCTAGTAAGAACTAGGCCTTATATATAAACTACTAAGAAGAAGAAGTATACGCCGGCGTTAAGAATCTACTTACTATTACTATTACTTTAACTACTAAGCTCCTAGTAATTAAGACGGCGGCTTATTAGATCTATTCTAATTTATAAGTCGAGTATTTATCCCTAGGATTTAGATATAAGCCGAGTATAAAGGGGTATTAGACTACAGTTAGAAGGGTTTAATAGCTAAGGGATTAGTAGCCAATATAGTACTTTTAAAGTTTTAATAGAAGGTAAGGTGTGACGACACGCACAGCTGATGGACCGCGCAAGAGCACGACTACGTCAGGTATCACGAGTGGTGAGTGTCACGAATCACGTGCTCACATGATACTTGTCATAATAAAGAGGCGCAACCCTCGACAGGCACATCCAGGTTTCTTATAGCAAATAGGGATGCTTAGACTAGCTAAGCGATCCAGGGATTTCCTTCGTATCTTATCACGTGACTAGTTGGATCGACTGGACCGACGATCGGTCTGAACTTCTGGAACGACAGGACCGACCAGCGGTCCTGGCAAAGTACAGGAAAGTGAAGGTTCTATATAAGACTGGCATGTCTGCCATTAGATAGGAGCTTTGTGCTCAACTTAGTTATCAATCTTATCATATTTGTTTGACATCTTTGATACAAGTAACGAGTTCACTTTACCGACCAGCGGTCCTGGCAAAGTACAGGAAAGTGAAGGTTCTATATAAGACTGGCATGTCTGCCATTAGATAGGAGCTTTGTGCTCAACTTAGTTATCAATCTTATCATATTTGTTTGACATCTTTGATACAAGTAACGAGTTCACTTCCAAGTGAACAACCCGATAGTTCTTCTTCTTATCATAGCATACCAACCAGCGAACACCCAGCCAAGTTTAGTTAGCCAGTGTGAGTATTCGTTACATTTAAGTTAAATAGATCTAATAACTACTCTAAGCTAAGTGTAACGAATACTCAAACTGGCTAACTAAACTTGGCTGGGTGTTTGCTGGTTGGTATGCTATGATAAGAAGAAGAACTATCGGGTTGTTCACTTGGAAGTGAACTCGTTACTTGTATCAAAGATGTCAAACAAATATGATAAGATTGATAACTAAGTTGAGCACGAAGCTCCTATCTAATGGCAGACATTCCAGTCTTATATAGAACCTTCATCCTCAAGTACTATGATCTGGATAGCCAACTCGCCTGTCGAGCTGGCGGTCCGTTTCGCTAGGTCGCCGAGCGATCCAGCGATCCTACTTAATCATGTGACCATAACCAATGGAAATCCCTGGATCGCTTAGCTACCCTAAGCGATCCCTATTTGCTATAAGAAACCTGGGTATGCCTGTCGAGGGTTGCGCCTCTTATTATGACAAGTATCACGTGAGCACGTGATTCGTGACACTAAGTTAAGTAAATACTACTATTTAACTTAATTTAACTTATTTTCTATACTAAGGAAAGATAGTATTTTCTAAGTTAATTTCTTATTCTCGTATCTAACTAATCCTCGTATAATATATACGCTTACTAAGCTATTAGAGAAACCTTATTATAATACTTTAGTAGTAGAAGTATAAGACTTAGACTTAGAATGTATAAGTTATATATTAAATATAAGTACTTTCTAGAAGTGTTTCGGAATACTATTATTATAATAGTAATTAAATTATAATCTAAATTAACTCTTTTCTTTAGCTTATAAATTAATAGACTGTTTTATTACTTTACCTAGTCTTAAATTATAAAACCTACCTATAGTAATTCTCGCTTCTTCTAAGGCTTACTTCTGTAGCTTACACTTGTTTGTTATAAACTAACCAGTAGTACATAATAAGATCGTCAAATATGTGGCCCAGAAAAGGATACAGAATACGAGTATAGATATATCGCTATCTACAGTAAAATTGAGATTACATAAGCGGTAGTGATCCAGAGTCCCTTATGCGATACTCCATATCCACTCCAGCCGAGCCCCGCTTCCCTCAGGTAACTTTTGGACAACAACAGACGCTCTATAGTTATTTCTCTTTTAGCAAAGTAGATCGGCATCAGAGGTCAGATGGACACTTACACCTTTATCTCCCGTGTACCGAGCATTACAGCGTACGATGTCATAGGCTCCGTTTTTGAAAACATTGAATTGTTCACATCCGTCGCGTGGGATTACGAGGCCGTGGCTGCCTAGGGCGGACGGGATGTAATCACCCTATGGTTATATTACTCATCAGTATTTGAATTGTTTTTTGGAAACAGAAACAGGGTAGTATTTAAAGTTGCGTGTGGGCTAGAAAGGGTACTATTTACACAAAACACCCATCCGGTACATTGCTTGCCCTGCGAAATCGTTCCACCATCTGGATAAGCGGTCCCGTCCTCCTCGAACCACCATTGTATTGCTACTACGCTCGTGGCGAGGTAGCTCATGGTTGTGAGGATAGCGGCGATTTGCATGATGGAGGCAATTTGGTGTCGTGGTACGTGTCGTGGGTTACCCGATTCTCGCAAGGGACTTTTATGTAGAGGTTGAAATAAAAGTAAAGAGATCTGAGACTCTCGACCGGTACGACATTTAACCACTGGTTTATATACAGTACTGTAGAAATCAAATGATCTTTTGTGAACCTTGTTCTACTCCGTCCTGGGCATAATAAATCATACTTTTTTTTACAAAGAAAATGGTAAATGCCCCTGTGAAAGTTACGAGCATTATGCTAGCGCGAAACATTTGTGTCATTAGCCATTCCCTAAGGTACAGGGTACAAAACCACCGAAAAGGTCGGAATACATAATATACTTCGGGTATAATTAGAGTTTTATCTAGGTAAATTTATAGGATTTTGCTAGACTAGGCTAGCTCTCTAAAAAGGGTCAGGCGAGGATTAAATCTGTTTTCCCCTTACCCAAACAAAAAAAAAAAAACAGGCCAAGGGACTGTACAAGGAAAATTGATGATACGCAGCAAAGATTCAACCCCGGAGTCTCGAGACTACTTAAGCCTTACTACTTTTTTCTAGAGCCCTTCACAGAAGCTTTGTCCCTCGACGACCAATACTATATTTACAGCCTGATACTACCCATACTTACATGCGCATGCGACTATACTAAACTCACGTAACAGCTACACGCAATGCCTGTAAATCATGAGCGCCTGTTAACTTCGGGCGAATCGCGCGTATCCGAAACTTATATTTATACTACGTTAGTGTTCGAACTATGTGGGAGATATCGAGATTTGACTACAGATATCAAGAGAATAACTCTTTATTGGGTTGAAAGGGTATTGGGTACTGAAGGTCATGGAGAATTGATTTCATTGTAAAAGGTAGCTATCTAAGGTGTTTATATAAAGAGTGTAAGGTTTAGGCAGACATGAAGCATTTAGGCAGCAGAACTATAAGTGGATCAAATAAGGAAGTGGAGCAAAAGAGAAAGTAGACCCAGCACAACACTCCCCTATCCTATGTTCTCATACGAAGTGCTTAGTGCTACGACTTTGCGAAGCCTATAGGAAATATTATATAGTATCCTACCAAGGTTCGTACTTATTCCTTATTTACTAGGTATGGACTACTGCCATATATATTCCTGTCTCCCTACCAGTCTGTAATCTTTGAATAACTATGCTTAATAACACCGGCCCAGATTTGTTTAATTCCTCTCAATCGTGATCTGGAAGCAAGTTTCAAAAGTATGACATTTGCCACACCCACCTGTTGATGCCGCGTACTTCAGGATTACCGCCCCCAAAAGTACTGCAACCTTCTAAGAATAGCCGACTTCCAATTCTCAGCAGCCCATTTGAAAGGAAGAGCTACGCGGTGCGACTCGTCTTCATGTTTTATCTAGAATGAAAAATCAAGGTACGTGGCATACGTGGAATGCTGGTTGGTAGAAAGAAGTCGCGAGCATCTTCATCCTGAGGTGGTATTGCAGGATGCAGCAGAGTATATAGCTACAAAACTGCCAGATCTCTCGGATTGATTTTTTTCAATTCTGCCTTTCTGTTCAAAACTCTTGTCTCAACTTGTTTCCCTCAATACAACTTCCTACGCAGTAAACGAAACGAACCAAACAACCTGTGTGCAAAATGCTACTCCTGCCAAACCTGCCTTCGAACTACGTCCAAGTAGGCTTGTGGAGAAATCACACAGCACCTTACTATCGTCAATACCTTTGGACAACAACAAATATCACGGCTATAATCGTCCTAGGCCTTCTAGGAATACTTGTAACAGCAGCCGGTAACCGACTTTGGCCAATCATTCGGCAATTTCTGCAGCCTAGTATCCAGCTCTCAGATCTGGATAACAGGAGGGTAAAACTCTCGAGAACCGATGCAATTAAATCTCTTCGGGCACATATAAAGAATTATATGGAGGAGTTCAAGGCAATATGGACGGAAGAGTATGGATTCAAAAACAAGATCAATTCCACTCTTGCCCCAATGCGAGGAAATACTCGCCAACCACCAGACTTAACTACAGTCCAAGCTAGTATCGAGCTACGATTCGGTGTTTTTGCAATTTTAAACATAGCCAGTTTTGCTTTCCTGGGCATCATGGTGCCATTCTTTCTAGCAGAGGGACTCCAAGGGGAGGCCGTTGTTCAAGGTTACTTTCACCGACCGGGGCATTTTATGTCGACTCCCCGAGAAATTATGGATGAGGCCTTATATGACCGTGCTAATGATGACTTTGAAGGTTGCATTTCAGGCGAATTGATTTGGAGTCAGAGTACATACTGTGTGGATCTTCGAAAGCCTCTTCCGCCATACGAAGCAGAGGATGTGAACCTAACTGAGCCTTTGTTTGAACACCCGCCGTATCGCGTTCTCAGGGAGAATGGAGACGGTACTCTCCAGGCGATAAAGCTCAGTGGCCATACGAGCTTTCAGGATATTGCTTTCAACGCGAAATCCGGAGAGGATACGCTCCTACACGAGTTGACATGTGTTCCTGTACCCCTCGACCCCTTTGTGAATGACTTCAACGGGGCTTCTCACCATTTTGAACTAAGAATCAAAGGATTTCTTTCCCAGAATTGGCAGAATTGGAAATCAATTTGGCGTATGGATTCGCCTCCCTACAGTCAATACGAATATGTGTCTGACGGATATTTGACTATTCATTACAGCATGGCTCTCAAGACCAACAATAGTATTGTCTCTGGTCGCCAAATCCATAACACCAGTGGGAGAAATGAACCAGAAGGCGACATAGTGGACACCAACAATCCCCACCGACGGACATGGTACCAGAACGATATCGACTCTACACTACCGTTGATTACATACAGAGACACTGATTCTTCCTTTGGAATTTGGGAACGGGCAAATAAGGCTAGACAAGCGGTGGATACTAATTTACTTCAGAATTTCCTTATCACGATCAAACCTCAAGCACCCCGAACTTATAGATCCCAGCCAGCGCTTTTCAAGAGTTTTTCAGATGACTCAATCTTTGGCGCACGTCTGGCAAATTCTGGCAACGAAGATTTCTTCCCGGACCGTGAGGTATCAGCAATTGGATGCACCGAAACTTTCGTTAGATGCTCATCAAATCAATGCACGGAGATCAATACCGCATATGACGGAAAAGGTCCAGGGCCCGAGTGGAATGATCTTTTAGACAATCAGCGCAGTATAAAGTCTATTTGGATCGATAGCATGCTTCATCCTATTTACGCCTTGGACAAATTCTTCCTGAGTGGTCGTCGAAGGTGGCAGCAAGATATCGAAGAAAGGTTTATCCGTGCCCTAATTAGAGCTCGATATGCTACCAAGACCGCTGCTGAAAAATTCCTTGCAGCTAATCCCTCAACGTTCGAAAAAGAGTGGCCCAGTGACGGTAGTAAACCAACAGCTGATCTGCTGTATCTGAATCCAGACCACACCAACATCAGTATTTGGGGAGTTGTTGCCACCACCGTCGGTTACCTTTATATTATTGCTGTTAGTTACTGGACGGCCTTGCTGTCTCCAATAGGTCTGTTGGTTAAGGCTATCGCCAGGATTAGCGGCGAAATCCGGAAAGAATTCCAGGTGTCCATGGTTTTGGTTAGTCATGAGGTCCAGGTTGCTATGAGATTCATTGGAATGTGTGTTCGTACACCGGAGCCAGTGACAGCTACCGCCCCCGAGAGATCCAGTGCAGTTTCGATGGATAATTTAAAAGTAAGACAGGAGGATGGGCACCCAGATAACCCACCAAGAGCCGCTATTAATCCGGGAATCGAAGCGACGAACTGAACTTACGGGGGCAACAAGATTCCAGCCATGTTGTGAGAGTTCATTCAATGTTGCTGTGGCAGTCTAAAGAGCTAGCTTTACTACTTACGAGGCCGACTTTATGTTCTCATTTGGAGACGCCTTGAGCGAGCCTGATAAAGATATCAAAGACTTGTCAATTTTCTATTATGTGCTTTATAGCTTTTGTATTAGAGTAATAGACGACCTATTTATATGCACTTGCAAAGCTATTGGTAATTATCGTGGGAATAGCCTTTGATCTAAGATGGTGGCGAAGGATTTATTCCTCGGTTGAATTAATACGTTCACAAACATGGCCACGAAACCTTCCACTCGTCTTAAGCCGCGATTTTGGGAAAGTCCGAGAAGTTGCAGAATGCATAGGTAGTGATTTTCACCAGATGTCTTTTGGCTCTTTTGTCGTGGAAGAATTCCAATACAAGTGTCGTTCCAGTTGTTCATCAGGCTATAGAGGAGGAGCAATTCGCGACTTGTTTGAGAAAACAGCGACGAGAAATCATTTACAGTTCTTACTCCTAGTCTTTTACAGGAGCTTACTTCAGGGCCACCATCGCCTCCCCCTCTTGTCCATACTTCCTAGGAGTAGAAAATGTTGGGTGCTCCCGAGGGTTCATATGTATTTCCCTAACAATGAGGACTAGTGATCATACACATATAATGAAGAATGTTTGTGCATCTATTCTGTTGACAGTAATTTGTTCTTTAATCCCAGCCCCTATACTGCAAAATGCAAAGAAGCTTCTACAAGTATATTCTGATAGCTTGAATCATCGCTTCATATATATCAAAACTTGCTTTGAAACCTTATTGTTAGTATATTTTAGTAGACAAAAATCTTAGGTAGTCTGTATAATCTTGGAAAGAATAGAGAATGATCAAATGAAGAATATGGGGGCTATTCGTTTTGGCAAAATTACTGCAAAGCCAAACATTTCGCATTGCTGAACATCACATACGTACTCCGTTTTCGCATTTCTGGACATCACATACGTACTCCGTAGGGCCACTATTGTGTTGTCCTAGCCCAGATGACTTTAGAAACTGGGTAACGCCGTACTTATGGCGCACTTTAAACTTATGTCGATAGGTATTTGCGCCTCATATAATTAATAATGGGTTGCAGAGGCACGTAGCCCCAATCTTAGAGGCGATAGCTAGATTATGATAATAAGCCCAAGGAACGAATGTTCCATCAAGAGTGATTGAACCTCCTCACGATTAATGAGCATTGTCTCATCAACTTGAAGGAACAAAGACCCTTCCAGAGTATAGCAGAGGGTGGTATACAAATAAGGCAGAGTTTGACCAATACTAACTTTCCAAAGCACTCAAGCGCCTCAAGCGAGGTTGATTGATTCACTTTCTTCAATCACTTCACTGTGTTCTTTCAATGCACATTAAAATTTAACAAAAGTTCACCCACGTGTCATTTGAGTTCATAGCTTTAATCTGCAAATTGGTCTCATTCATTTCTCACTAATAACGTGCTTGATAAACTAACTAAAGACAACTTGAGAATCCACAAACAAACACAATCTAAACGATACAAACACCAAAGAATCTTAAAACCCATGTTCTAGCCAATGCAAGCAAAACTCACAATTCACGTAGTGTAGCAGCCCAACCTAATTCCAAGACAACAAAGTGTCTTCCGCCTGGTTCCTCGAGAAACTCTCGATCTAGCTAGTTAAACCTTTGAACCACTCCCCCCCCCCAACCAGGGATTGCGCAAGAGCCAGAAGACCAAGTGAGACGTGGACTTATGTGAATCAAATCGAAGAAAGTAGAAAGGTTGAAAAGTACAGTAAAACAGAAAAGGAGCATAAGCACAGAGAACAATCATAGCCAGAAAAAAAGGAAATTACCTTCATTCATTGTGAAATTTGCATAGTTGAACCGATAGAGTTCAGTCATCAATTCAACGGCAACGAATTCTATCCAGAGGAGAAGATGGGAATTAAAGTGTGGAGATTGACCCGGAAAGATCGAAGAATTATTATTATTATTATTATTATTATTATTATTATTCCTTTTAACGTGCTGTGTGAGTCTGAGACTATAGTAGCACGGCTGGGGGTTTCCCTCCAACAGATAAGTAAAGCTGTACTAAATACATGTTTGAGAAGGGGGTTATGGTCATTACAGTTCTTGGGTTGTTGGAAGCAGCTAGGCTT